TCCTCCTCCTCCTCACTTTTTTATAACTTACTTTGATCCGGCCTTTCTTTGTCCTCGCTTCCTTCGCAAATTTTATTGTCCCCGTAGCCGGGTCTTTGATTAGCCAGCACGGCCTCCCTGCCCGCCGAAGTTTCCAAACTGTACTCGGGCGCGCCGGGCTTGAGCAGCTCCCCGGGCGCGCCCAGCAGCGGCTCCGCCTTCACCGCCTGGCCCTGGCCCGGGGCCTCGCCGCGCGGCGCGGGCTCCAGCCAGGTGCGCAGGTACCTGCCCTCGGCGGCCGGCGCGCCCTGCGGCTGCAGGTACGGGTGGTACACGGGCGGCAGGCTCCCCGACGCGTGCGCGCTCAGCGGCGCCCAGGACGCGCCGAACACGGGCGCCTTGGGCTGGAAGCTGCAGGACGGGAAATCCAGGTGCTCGGCCGCGCCCGGCTGCCGCGGGCCCGCGAACTGGCCGGAGGGGAACTTGGCTGGAGGCGCGTCCTCGCTCTCGTGACTTATGATCGAGTCGACATAATAGCTGCTAAGCGTCCCAGAAATGGACATTCTCAGACATTATCCGCGCACTCGCTCGCAGGGGGAAGGGAGCGCTCGCTGGCTCGCTCGCAGGGGTGGCGGCGGCGGCGCCGGAGCAGGAGCAGGAGCAGGCGGAGAACGAAGGTGGCACCCGGGCCGGGGCGAGGGCTTTCGGACGCGAGCCCCCCCAAACCCCCACCCTCCCACCCCCACCGCCACCCCCGGGCTCAACTTCTCAGCCAACAAAGTACAGTGGAGCGGCCCGGCTCGGCGCTCCGTGCAAAATGATTGGTCAAAGTTTTTCCGACAGCCTGATAAAGCGTCAGCCCCGACATCAATCAATCGGGCGCGGGGGCTGCGCTCGCGCTGTCATCCGTGCGCACCGCGCTCCGCACCGAGGATGGATTGTTTTATGCTGATGCAATGTGCTATCACGTCAGGGCTCCGCCGGCCACGTAACCTCAGCCCGGGCCGCCGGCCGCCCCTCCCGCCTTCGCAGGAGGGGGGGGGCCTCGACGTGGGGCGCGGGGGGCGGAGGGCAGGCGGGGGCTGCGGAGCGCGCTCCCCGGGCGGGCGGGTGGGGGAGGGAGCGAGGGAGGAGGGAGACCGCCGTGGGAGCAGCAGAGACGGAGACGCGGAGCCCAGGCCGGGCGCAGCCAGGAGGGCCCCGCAGGATAATTAAAGAAGAGGTCGCCCGCCCCCCGTACACACACACCTCCACCTCCACCTCCACCCCGCGGGCCCTCATTTCCTTTTCTCTGTCCCCTTGACAGAGATGTTTATTAAACAACAGCAGCAGCAGCCACAGGAGATGGAGGGAGAGGGATGGGGGAACTTGGGGATTTTATAAGACCTTATCGGCTCTGGAGGGGGCTGGAGGCACTATTTGGGGAGATTTCCACGGCCAGGAGCCTCCCCTGACTCCTCAGCACCCAAGGGAGGAGAGGGGAGAGGGACAAATGTCAAAGGATCTGCTGTCTGTCCTGAAATTAGGACCTGCTTGAGGTCAGGGGGGCTCTCTGGGCCTGGAAACTTGGGTCCACAGAGTTTGAAACAACTAAGCCAAGTCCTTACGGTGAACTCTTTTCAATTCCCTGGGCCTCTGTGGATGGGTGGGTGCTCAGCTATTCCCATCTCCTTCCGGGAGAAACCTCCCAGGACCCTCAAGTCGCCCAGAGGAGGCAGCTGATCAGGAGGAAGCTCAGAGAGCTCCGAAGGTGACCCGGAAGCAGGGACATGGGGAAGGGAAAGGGTCCGGAGTTCTCTCGCCTTCCACGCAGCAATGACGGAGCCCAGGCCAACTTTGCAGCCCTCCATTGCCGCTCTGGGGGCTTCCAGTGCCGGCCTAGGCAGCAGCGTGGACAGCAAGCCCCTAGGGTCAGGCTTCCCCCATCTGCCGCTGTAGGATCCCTCCCAGGAACCCTCCCTGGAGCTTCCACATAGTGGGTTTATAGAATCCACTCTGCAGCCCGGTGCAGGGTCTCTCTCGGGCCCACCGGCTGGAGTCCTGGCTCCTCTCCCAGGCCCTCCAGTTTCTGCCTGCCCTGTTGTTCTGCTCGGGAAGCAAAGTCCCAGCATGCTGGGCTCCCTGGCTCGGGTTTAGGCGCAGGTTTCTTGGCAATTCTGACTCCAGGCCACTCTAAGGCCGGCTGCCCTCAGAGCCACCGGGTCTGATCTTTCTGGCAGCTGCCCCTCTAGCCTGGGAAGGCTTCGGGTCACCTCTGGACACGCACAGACATACCCCCGCCCGCATTTCTCTCCAAATGAAGCCATCTCGTGTCATTACGTGTGAAATACGAGGGCGCTGAGCTGTATTTCTTCACATTATGGCGATTTCAAAATGATTTTTTAAAGATCAATGCTGGCGCCCAGCTGGCCCCCTCCTAACCCAAGCTCTCTCCGAGGGCGATGGGCCCGCAGATCTGGAACCAAACAGCGTGAAGGTCTGCTTTTTCCGTAGGACCAAGCGGGGAGAAACCAAAATCCAATGGAAATTCTTTTAAGTAGCATCTGGGGGCTTGGGGAAGTCAGGGAGCTCCCCAGACTCGCCAGCGAGAAAACTGGGTCTGGAGCGAATGGATCGAAGTTAGGGCAAAGCACCTGTTCTCGATTTGTCAGACGTGTGGAGTGTGCCGTGGGCTTTACCTGTAATAAATATCCTCTTCGGGCAAAAAAAAAAAAAAAAAGAAGTCTCCTCCCCTGCCATAAATAATGGTGTTACGAAGCATGGCGGCTGAGTATATGATTTTCTGTAGCTTATAAATTAGGGCCCAAAAGGACATGGGAACGGTGGGGCTGGGCCTTTTATTTATGGAAAAGTCACGGCGCTGGGCTGTCCTTAAGAGCCGAGCTGTACAGGCACCAGGCTCTGACTGCCACCCTCCTGCTTTCCCTGCCCTGTCCTGGCTTTGAGGCAGCCTAATTTAGGAAGAAGTTAGAGAAAGACAGACATTTAAGCTTAAGGCGGAAGCTGTTCCGGCAGGCAGGCCTGGTTCAGCTCTGTGGGTTTCTAACTGCCTGGAGAATTGTCCCCAGTTCCCAGTGGCTCCCGGGTACCTGTGAGGGAGGGGACACAGGCCTTTTTTCTGAGACCCGGGCTTAGTCTTTGCGTCACAAAGAAGCGGAGAATAGGAACAATTTGAAGATGACAGGTTATGGAGGTCTGAGGCTTCTCCCAGAGATGATTAGAGGGGACAGAATGAACTTGCCCCCCAGCCCTGGGGTCTGCACCCCACCTCACCTCCTGGGTGGTGCAGCGGCTGGGCCAGGGAACAAGCCCCCACCCCAAGCCTTTCTAGAAAGCAGTGCTGGCCCAGGCTGGAGTTCAACTCCAGCTCAGGGAAATGATTAAAAGGGCCACTGAGAGGGCGCCCCTGGCCTAGAAGCTCTGAGAACCTGGGACCCTCCAAACATTATTTTCTCCCCAGATAATGGTACCCACCATGAAAGAAGGGAGCAAACAGGATGGTGGAGCCCATCGTCTGTCTAAAAATATCTACTAGAGGGGTCACCTCCACGGGAGTCGCTTGGTCCTGAGAGGGCAGAACTGCTGTGTACCCCACCCCTAGCCCTACAGAGAAAGGAGGACCCTGCCCTACCTCACAGCCTCCCGCCAGACCAGCGCCAGTCCTGCACCGGAGCCTGAACACAGCTGGGGCCAGTGGCCTGGGAAGACTGCACAGGAAAAAGCAGCAGCCCCTGGCCACGCTGGGGTCCAGGGCAGCAGAGGAAGGGGCCAGGGTTTGCAGAGCAGAGGTGGATCCTGGCCTGAATCAGCCGGTGAGTGGGACGCTTTGAGGGGGAGACTGGATCAGGGTCCTTGTCAGGAAAAAAGAGAGAAAATTTAGGGGGTGATGGAAGAGAAGAAAACAGCAAAACAAGACAGGAGTAAAAGGAAAGAGAGTTTGTTTTTCAAATTATTAAGCTAAACTAAAATGGATGCATTCTGTATTTCCACAGATAAATATGTCCTGTATGTCTACTTTAAATCCCAGTGTAGCGGGACCCTGGGTGCAAATGTGCTGAGCTCTGCACTGTGTAGAATATGTGAGAAACAGATCTGAGCCCAGCGCTAACCCTCCGTGTATGAGGGCACTCCATTCGAAGAGGAGGTCTCGTCTTGCATAAGTGGATATGCCTGTAACCTCTGTGAGATGAACACAGAGATGAACGATTCTGCTCAGATTAAGAAGATCCATGGCCCCAAAGCTTGTAGGTATATTTTTGTAACATCCACACACCTAAGGAGAAAGCAGAAACCGGGGGATTTCTGTACTTGAATTGTGGCTATGAAATATTAGCTGATTCGCAAGTTTCACTTGGAAAGCAGCCCCTGGATATTCAAGGCAAATGTACACCTCTACCGTATCCTCAGCCTTTCAGTCTGCGACTTAGGCTGGATTCTATCACAGCTTCCTCTGGAAGATGAGGGAAATACTTCATATTGGGGAAAGGCCATGAAATTTGGTGACTTCTTTTTTGTCTGACCATGAAATTCTTCACTGAATATCTTGGCCCAAACTGCAGGGACAGCATGTGTTGTTGTGTGATGCTTATTTCATGGAGGGTGGAAGCACTAATTGTGCACACACGTGTCCTGAGTAAGTGTGAGGCAGAGGTGGGCAGATGTGAATTGAGTGTGAAAGTCCTCAGGTAACCGTTGGAGGTCATGCCAAAGCCGTGCTGTGTACAACAAAATAAGAAATCCCCCCTGCCCCGTCCACATCCTCAAGGAGTGGGGGGATTTCTGCTGTTTAAGAACCAGAGTCCAGAGCCACTGTGGGAACAGAGCCAGGAGGACACTTGTCCTGCTGGAGGTGGGAATCAAGATCCCAAGCCCCCAGTTCTTTTATCCCAAATGGACGCCCGAACAGGTACCCTACAGAATCCGCACACCCAGCTTCAAGCCTTGATACTTCCACATTCCCCAAGTGGGGATCTTAAGGGTCAAGTAAGGAAATCTTCTGCCAAGCTCCCTCCTAGGATGTCAGAGGTGAAAGGAGGGACAGGGACGGGACCCCCAGGAAATCTTCTTACCAACTCTCAGCCATCAAGGGTATCCGGGGCGTGGGTGGGGGTGGCTGGCTTCTTGGGAGGGGGGCATCCAGGAGGCCAAACGGGGTGGGCAGCAGGCGGGGCGGAAAGGGGCGAGCAGGTAGAAGGTTATTACGGAATTGCTTCCATAAAACCTGTGGCTGTTGTAAAACTCTGCTTTCCAAAGACTTTATTTCCTCCTTTCTCTCTAACATCCCCCTTTTTTCTTCTTTTACAGCACTTTTCCTGAGAGGGGGTGGCTGAGGGACACCATGGATGGCTCGAAGACTGGGGCAGGTTGGGAACCAGCAGCCTGAGAAGCAAGGTAAGGCAGCAGAGGCCTCCCAGCCCCTCTGGACCCAGACCCAAGGCGACAAAATGTCCAGGGGCAACACTGTTGGCCCTAATGTATCAAGAGTGGGTTGAGGCTGCCTTCCCATGTGTGGGGCAGGTCCCCCAGGGGTCCTAGCAAAGGCCCCTTGTTCCTGGAGCCCCCTGTCCTCCACGTCAGCCTGGCGCCACCCGAGCCCCATCCGGTCCAGCCTCTTCCTGGGCCCCTTTGCATATTTCCTCTGCCTCAGGCAGGGGGGAAAGTGGAGGAACAAAAGTTAGCTTATGCTTTGGGAGCTCCCCACCCGCCTTCCACCAGCGCTTCTGGTTACTCCTTCCCTGGGCACAGAGCCAGCAGCCCTAAGAGGGCTGGGGTCAGAGAGGGTAACTAGCTTGCCCTGCCCAGCTGTCTCCCCTCGGCACCAGTCTGTGCTGAAGGCCTCACCGCTCTGGTTCTCCGGGAGCCTGCCAGGGAGCGGCTCTGAGGACCCACAGCCCAGCCCTGGGGCCGGTGGGAAGGAGCCAGCTGGAGGTCGGCAGAGGAAAAGCTTTCTGGAAGCTCCCTGGAGCAAGCTGCTGCCCCACTAGGGGGCCCTAGGAGGGACCCTGAGGGCCTGTATAGGCTGAGGCCACAAGGAATCCTATTTTCTCTTTCCTCCGAAAGGGGCCTATTGAGCCCTCTTACGGACCTAGAACTTTCTGCTGAGGGGGAGCCTGGTCCTCCAAAGGTCACAAGGACCTCAAGAGCCTCCCGTGCCCCTGTTGAAACCCAGCCTTTGTGCACTTGTGACTGCAGAGTTGAGTTGCGGAGTCTCTGGAAGGTTCTGAGAGCAGACAGGAGCCCAAGACCCTGGAGCTGGAGGCTCAAAGTTAGGACTCAGCCACTGCCTGGGAGGTGGCTTTGGAAAGTTAAGTGCTCCCCACTCCCCGCTTGAGCCCCAAACACGCTGACACATCCAGCAGTGGGAAGGCACCCCAGAACTCCCGTGCTCTCCCCAGCCTTGAGCCCGGCCACCGCCACCACCGCCACTCCTCCAGCTAAGCGAGGAGCAGTAACTGCCGTGAATCAGGTGGTTTGATGTCGTTGTGTTCAGAAGCCCAGGCCCAACAACATGAAACTACCTAATTCACTCAGCAGTCCCGGTTGGAGCGCCAGGCCTGGGGCTCCCTGGGGCAGGCCCCTGGGCCATCCTGCAGGCCAGAATGGCCCCACTTACCGCTGAACTTACTTCTTCTGCTTCACTTATTTCCCACAGACCCAGCTGCCAGTAAACAACTCGTCTGAAGAACTGGACCCAGGACTGTAGGTGAAAGGGGCTCAGCGCTGGCCCTGGCGACTCAGATTCCAGAAACTTCTGTTTTTCTAACCAACTCCAGCTCAGGCAGGGCCGCTTGGAGATACCTGGTTGGCATCTGTCACTGAAGTGGGGACTCTCCGCAGATGAAAGGACTCACAGCTTTGCCCCGTTACAAAGGTACACCCACGGGCGCCAGCCACCTGGCCAGTCCCTGTGCTCGGGGTCACTGGCCACCCAGGAGGCTCTGAGAGGTCAAATCTTCCAGCCCTTCAAGGTCCCCAGCTCTAAGACTGGGCTGTAGCCAGGGGAGTGGGGAGACGTGGTGCGGAGAAAGAAAGCAACAAAGAGATGGAAAAGGGGTGTCAGTAAGTACCGGGGCCCCTGGGGAGCAGAGGGAAAAGGGGGATTCGGAGGGGGCAGCAGAGTGACTTGGATGGACAGAAATCAGGCTGCAGAAAGGTCTGGGGCTCGGCGGCGGCGGCACAGACCTGAGGAGCTGCCCCAGGTGACAAGAGCACTGGGACCGGGACCCAGGGCACATGTGCGCTTCTTCCTCCTCCTGCCCTACAGACTGGGCCCTCTCCCCTGCCACCCGTGTCCCCCCCCCCCCGTGCCTCACCGTGTGCAGACACCACATACCCGAGCTCCACAGACAGCACCTCACCTGAGGGAGTGGGGACCGCGACTCCGCCGTTACCAGTTACCAGGTGCATTGCTCGAGCCAGTCCATCCAGGTCACCCTGGCCCCCTCCTGCCTTGTCCCAGAGGCGACAGTCTGAGCGGCCACGTGTCCGGCAGGGAAACCCCGAGGTAAGGAGGGAGTCTGCCTGGCCGCCCACTCCCCCTCTTGGGTATAAATCTTGGGGACCGGAAATCCAATAAAACTTCACCGTGTTGATGAACTTCAAACGGTTTACATCCCCTCCTGGCTGGAAAAGAAAGACGGCCCCGGGTGGGGGCCAGGTTAAAAGAAAAGGAAAGCAAATTTACCAGCCCAAGAAGCAGCTTGCACGAACTTTGTCCGCGTGGGGAGAAGCAGCTGGGACGCCCAGGGCCTGCGCCTCTGGCCTCTGGCAATGATGAGGGTCCTGTCCTGAGCCTAGCCTCCCAGGGTCCTGAGCACGCCCGGGGCCTCCAAGGCTCCCAGCCCCAGAGGAGCTCGTGAGTCACAGCCACAGCTCCCCCAGCCACAGCCTGGGACCTCCATTTTTGCACCTTTCCGCTGAATGCGGGTTTTTTGTCTGATTGGTTTTTTTCCCCTCCAGCTGCCAGACCTTTGCCCTGCTGGCCGGCCTGGCCTGTTTGTTGCCAAGTGCCTGAGGAGGGGGACAGGAGATAAGACTGGAGGACTCGGGGACCAAGCTGGCTGATCTCCTGCAGGGGACACCCGAAGGGCCGCAATGCGTGGTGGCAGGGGAAGTGACAACGTCAGGCTGGGCATAGAGTGGTGTCCAAATCGGCCTCTGAGCGGGTGCCCAAACCTGCTCCTGCCTGGCTTCTTAAAGGACACAAAATCCAGGGCCGGGGATTTAGCTCAGCGGTTCTGCCGCCTGCCTTGCAAGCGCAAGGGCCCGAGTTCAATCCCCAGTACCAAAAAAAACCCCAAAAAACAAACCCCAAATCCAAATGAAACCAACCGCTGCCTGGGCCTCAACTTTCCTCGATGTAGTTCTTTTCTGCTCTGGACATTTTGTGGAATCTGGATTTGCTACTGTAAAGCAAAACTTAAAAGATCATTTTTCAAAGCCTTGAATTTGAAATAACTGGGAGCAGAGTTATTGACTGCTGCTTTTGCTTTTTTTTTTTTTTTTTGGTCCACCTCAGGGACCTGCACAGGGCTCTTTTGGGTGGGGGAACAAAGGCATAGAAACCATGTCGAAGTTATTCAGCCACCGAACACCACAGCTTCCAGTGTGAGACCCTCGGTGGGCCTGACATGCAGGAGGGGGGCTGGTGTCCCACAGACTCACAGGTGCAGCCCTGCACAGCCAGCCCCACCCGCCCCCCAGAAAACAATGCCGAAGCCCTGCTGGAGGTGTTCTTTTAAAAACAGATGAAAAATGACATGATCCTGGCGTGGTGGTGCATGCTTGTCATCCCAGCACCCTGGGAAGCTGAGGTAGAAGGATCGAAAGTTGGAGCCCAGCCTGGGCAACTTATCAAGACTCTGTCTCAAAATTAAAAAAAAAAAAAAAAGAAAAAAGAAAAGGGGGGCTGAGGATATATAGCTCAATGCAAAGGCCCTGGATTCAATGCCCAGTAAAATAAATACATAAATAAATAAAACATTTAAAATGCAATGGCTTGGAAAACACCAGGCTGTGTCCTAGCACTTTTGAATTTTTCTGGAAGGCTAAGTGTGCTGTCCTGCTCGGCCCCAGCCTGGCCGGGAGGTAGCAGTGCTGTGGTGGTGGAGGGGGTGCCCTCGCCCCCTTCCTGGCACCAAGAGCGAGGAAGGGGGAGCTCTTAGCAGTGGGAGCACAGGAAGCAGTTTCTTCCCATCCAACATTCACATTCCAGGATTTGCCTGGGAGACCTCCAGATCTCCTCCACCTTACATATCCCAATTCCCTAGTTTTGCTGTGTATCATACAATACTTTTTAAATTTTAAAATGCAGTCACTTATATTAGGATCTGCTTCTGGGAGCCAGAGAGGAGCCAGAGGGGAGGCCGAAGGGGTCAGCAGCTGCCAGGCTAATCAGGGCTGACCTCCATCCCCTCCTGGGGCGCCTGGCATGGGGCTGAGGCAGTGCTGGCTCCCAGCCCTTACCAGCTTGGTCTCTGCCACTCCCTGGGGTTCTGGAAAAATGGAAGACACCACAGCTTTTGTGCAACACACCTGTGCGCACGCACACACTTTGCGAGCATTTTTAGGAGCTTTGCGCCTTCCCAGCCCTCATCCCCAGAGCCCAGGCCACTGCTCAGTCTGAAAATTTAAAGTCTGCACAGAGCCAACAGACCCCTCAGACCCTTTCTACAGGTGCCCACTGTATCTGTTCAAGGTCACCTGGCCCCAGAGCAGCCAACTTTCAAATTCCAGAGCAGTGTTCATGCATCACTGAGCTCGGTTACTCAGCGAGCAGAGGCCACGGAGGAACTTCTTTTCACCCCAAAAGGTTTTCCAAATACTCTTCCAAAAACACGTCCATCTCCAAATTAGTCAGAAAATCGATGGCCAAGCTGCAAGATTCAGGGACTTCTGGCTTCTCTTCTTCCTTGAAGAGAAAGCAGTTCTAGCACCACTGGAGGGGGCTGGACAGCTTAGATCATAAGAGGCAGCGCAGAACACAGGTCCTGAAAGAAACAGAAATTGAGCCCCTCTTCCACTGAGAGCCCAAAGAATAAGTATTTCTGACCCTTCCGGGTGCCTCTCTCCTTCCTGACCTTTCTTATAGGGCAGAGGGGAGGCCGTTTCGGAAAAGTCAGAGGTGCCAAAAGCCTAGCCTCCGGGCCAAGCTTGGAATTAGTTTTGTTTTGTTTTGTTTGTAATTTCTGGCGGCAGCTGGCGCAGGCAGCTCTGTGGTCGCCGGGGAGTAAGGCCGAGGCCGCGACCGACCTCTAGGCGGCGCCCTGGGGCCGAGTTCTCCAGGCTCAGGTCCCGAGGCTCAGCGGCCAGCGCGGGGTTGGGGGGGAAGGGCGGGTTCCTGCAGGCCCCGGGGCTCGGCCAGGAGCTGGTCGCCGGCGCGTCGCCTTTGGCGCCCTCTGCCAAGCAAGAGAAACAGGATTAGAGGAGTGCGGGCCGGGCCGGGAGCGCAAGGGACAGCTAATCAGGGCCGCCCCCCAGACGGACACCAGGGGCCCGAACCCCCTTTTATCTCCCCCGCAGCATCTTTAACACCACCCCCAACTTGCACTAGAAGACCCACGTCCGTCCACCTCACATAACGTGTCTTTCTCGGAAGCAAAAATCATTTGCAGAAAGACAGCCTTGGAGGGGTTGTCTTTGTTGGAAGTTTGGGGTTTCTTTTTTTTGGGGGGGGGGGTGTCTTGGATTCCGGATTGGGGGCAGCGCCTCAGGATTCAGAGCCGGGACAAACCCAGCCCCTCTCTTCCAGGAAAAGCCAGTTTATAACCTTAGCAGCAGCATCCTGGCAAAGGCCTGGGACCCTCGAAGGCCTGGATGAAGAAGACCGGCTCACCACGACATGAACCCAGGCGAGGGCCTGTGGCAGTCACGGCCTGACCCGATGGGACTCCCCGCAGTCCTGGGTGGGCAGGTGCAGAGGCCTCCTCTGGGACGCAGCCGGCCGGAATCTGAAGCCAGGGCCGCCCAGGACCTGGGAGGTACGGGGCAGGAAGGCCCAGCCCCTGTCCCCTCCCCTCGTGGCAAGGCCGTTCCTAGCACAGAGGAGCCTGAGAGTCCCCAGCAGGACAGGAAAGGGGTAGAGGGGTGGGCTGGACCCCGGGACAACAGCAAAGGGCAGGCGCCTCCCCGGTGCTTCCCAGCCGGGCCTAATTACCCAGCCGCATCTGGAGCAGCTGAGCCCCATCCGGCCTCGGCCTCGGGCACATTATTTCTCCCTCCAAACCCTATTTTCATTCCCAAGGCTGGGTCGTAAGGCTCTGGAGGCAGAACGGAGTCGGATGTGTGCTGTCAGCACTGCCGCCCGAGTGTGCGCGCGCACAGGCGTGGGGGGAAGGAGCTACAGCGAACGCACCGCGGCCTCATTACCGCCCACTGCCAGGGAAAGCACTTGGTCTCCGAATGAGCGGCCAATTGCCTCACTTGTGGGTTCACTGCGGGGCAGGGGAAACTGCCTGCCACGAACGCGTTAGGTACTGCAAAACTTTAAGATCTTCTCATTCTCGATTTTCTTTATTCCTATCCCCGTTACATCCTTGAACATTGATATCTGTGTCACATCCACCTTACTGAACACACACACACACACACACACACACACACGCACACAGGATTCATGCCTGAAAAGTAACTCTTCAGTTTCCACATCTGCAAAATCTGGGTGTCTGTACTGTTATGACTGTTGCAATGATTAATTAATGTGCCTGGGGTTAACAAGATGCCTGGTGCAGGGGGGGGTCATTTAATAAATAGTAACTGTTAAAAAATAAATAAATAGTAACTGTTAGTATGGAAGAGGAGAAAGGAGGAGGAGGAGGAGGAGGAAGAGGAGGAGGAGGCTGCTTTGTTCTCAGCCCTAGTCTAGGTTAGGGCTGTGAGTCAGCCTGTGTACAATGTATTCTTTTGACTTAGAGCAATGTCCATAAAAGTGAGGCCCCTTGAACCCCTTGGCCTGTAACTACCTCTTCAATAAGGATCAGAGAATTGGGGCAATTATCTGGCTCATTTCAGGTTCAAACTCCTATTTAGCTGAAGTATCTGGACCTGGGCAGGAAGAGGTGGGGGGGGCAGGTATTCATTCGCGTCAGGGTGAGGCCTTTCCCTGGCTGGGTGAAGGGCAGCCTGTCTTAGAAAAGGACTAGACAAGAAGGGAGGCAGCTGGCATTAAATGGGGCTTCTGAGAAATGCTTGACAAAAACCAGGTCTTGCCCATTTCCTGGGGCAGCCAGGCCTCCGAGCGCCCCACGCTCCCCAGAAACTCTCCATACAAGACAGAGACTTTCGCCTGCCTGTCGGGGGACTCTTATTCCACATTCAGCAAGCACTTACTGAGCGCCCGCCCACTGTGTGCCCAGTGCTGGGCTGAGCTCTGGGGGCCCGTGGGAGCCACACCTCAGTACTTGGCAGAGCTGATCTGGCAGGGAGGGGGAGTATGAGAGGTCTGACTCCAGGAGCAAGTCCAGGGCCAGGAGAAGGGGGACAGCCCTGCTGGGGGCGACAACTCGTGGCCAATGGCAGCGTTTTCCTCTTCAGGGCCAAAGTCCCGAGCAGGGGTGGAGCCAGAGGGTCTGCTGCACCCCTCCCCATTGTCTGTAGGAAAGAGGCCAACTCCACAGTGGGGTGGGGACCTCGTTAGGGGGAGGGCGGGACCTAGCCCAGCAAGCAGGGGGAAGATGACTCGAGGCTCCTGACCCTCAGTCGGAAGTTGCTGAGAACACCAATTAGTTCCCTTTAATTAGTAAAGGGAGGAGCAAATGGGCATATGTTTCTTCTGCTCTGATTAAAACCATTTAGGTCAGGTTCTCACGGCCAGAGTTATTCAGTTTAAAGTGTCCCAAGCAGAAAACTGTTTATTTTTTTTCTTTTTATTTTCAGGCAGGGGTTTGAACACTACCAGCCAATGATTGGCTTCCAGTCACAGATCAGAACGGGTGGGCTGGCAGGGGGTCACTGTGGCAGCCAGGAATGGGCTGGAGTCCCCCCAGTGCCCTCTGCTTGAAGAACATGACAACTGAGGGGCAGCCAGGAGGGCTTAGCGGCCAGTGTGCCGAGGGAGGGGGACCATAAACCAGATAACTTCCATTTCCCCTAGTTTGTCTGAACAGAGCTCTAGAAAATGCAAGTCTGGTCACTTCCCAGACTCCAAGCCTGACTTTCCTTTCAGGAGATCCAGCTTGGTCGGCTCTCCTGGAGAGAAGGCCAGGCCACTTTTGCTAAGCTAGAGAAGAAAACCCAAGTCCTTCTGGGATTTCTGTGTGGAAATAAACCACAACATATAAAGCCAGAGGAAACCAGGCAGTACCCTGGGATTGTCAGGAGTTACCTGCTGCCTGGCTCCTACAAACAAGATTACCGAAATGTTTAGGAACAAATTCTTTGGTATAGAGTTCAGCATTCTCAAAACTTGGCTTGGGTCCTCAGCCCGATGCAAATTTGGAATCCCAAATAGATGAATCCACAAGGGATGCAAAGGAACATTCTATTGCCCAATCCCCATTTTCCGGGCTGGAAAGATCAGCTAGAGAGTGGTTTGTGGAGAGCCTTCATTTCCAGTAGGGTTTTAGCACATGGAAGTTCGCCTCAATCCACAGTTGGCAGCCACTTGCGAGTCCAAGATCAGGTCTCCCCAGGGAAGCATTTCCTGCTGTCCCCGGGGGCCCTCTCTCCTCAGTCCCTACAGCAAGTGGTAGGGACCGGAACAGTACTGGCTGTGGCTCTGTTTTTAAAAGTGAAGGTTGGCCGGGCAAGCACAGAGCTCCAGCCAGAGGCAAAAAGTGAAGTCTACATGAAGGGACCGTGTTTGGTCACAGGCCCTTGGGAACTCTGAGAATAGGAAGTCAGGACCGTCGGAATGCATGGGATTTGGTGAGTATTGCCTAAGTGCTTTGGGGGAGCAGGTAGGAGAGAATCAGGACTTCTGATCAAAATGTGAAGTATCAATAGGAGACCCCAAAATGTTAAGAACCTTTCATCCACCATTCACCTACAAACAAACAAAAATAGGAAGCAGAGGGAGGGAGTGAAATGGACTTCTGATCAGACAAATGGAAGGGAACCATGGTGGGCACCCCAAGGTCAGGGAGGTCACTTTCACCGGTCCCTCCCTGGCATATCAGGCACCTGTGCATCTATCACAGGACTGAGGCCAGGCGGCCCCCAGCCCCTCCCTCCTCACGCACGCCTGCCAGGTGGGCTAGGGCCTTGCCAGGCCTGCGCCTCCCATCCAAATTCCCGGGCTGAGCGTTGCTCCTGCCATTTCCTGCCATGTCCACGCTGAAAGTTTCAGGAGCTGTCTCCCCCCACCCAAAAGCTTTCCGCTGGGCGGGATGGGTATTTCGGGGTCTCCAGCTCCCACAACTACAGCCTGGCGTTGGAGGCCCTCGTGCAGAGGCCAGGACCTCCGGGTTCTTTCAGCCCCCAAGGGCCCCCCCGCAAAGGTTACAAGGAACAGCTGGACAAACAGCTAGAAGGAGGGACAAAGAAGGGGGTCCTAGAGGGCCATCAGAAAAAAAGATGGAGAACGACAGCGAAGTGGAAAGAGCTGGAGGAGGTGGAGCGTCCCTAACCCACAAAAGGGCCCCAGGGGCGGCAGAGGCGGCGGGAGACCCGTTCCCATCTGCACCGCGGGGTAACGACCTCGTCAGCGCCCCCTCGTTCCAAGCCGCCCCATTACAGCTCCTCGGGCTCCGTCTGCTCTGTGCCCGGCTGGCTCCGGGGGACGGAGCTGCCGCTCTGCGCTCCGCCGGGCCTGGCCGGGTTCCGTTGGGGCCTTGGCTGATGGTGGGAGCAAGGGAGCCAAGGGCGCTGAGACCCCGAGACCCGGACCCAGTCCCCAACCTGGCAGGAAACCGGGCGCCAGGGGCTTCTCCGCCGCCGGGGCGCAGGCCTGGGGATCCCGCTTGGGGCGAGGCGCTGCTGGGCGCGATCGCAGCCGCTCCCCGCTTCATCGCCCCGTCCCTGAGCCCAGGCCCCTGGCGTCGCGGAGTCGGGGCGCACCGGGCGTGTAACTGCCACCTCCGTCGCCCCTTAAATCCCAGGACACCAAGGCGGATTTGAAAGTCTCCTTTCTAAAATCCCTGCCCTCCCTCATCCCGGCTGCTGGGGCTCGGGGCTCCGAGCCAGACCCTCTTTGGCTTCCCGATGCCAGCCCTGCGGTGCCAACCTCCGCCGCCGGGGCCGGAAGCGCACGCACCCCAGGTGCCCCGCGCCTTCTCCGGACGGACGCCGGCTTGGCGGCGCAGGGCCGGGCCCGGAGATCGCTGTGCTCCGGTGCGCGCCGTCGGGTCCGCTGGGGAATCTGCCCGGACGGCGTCGCAGCGGCCTCCCCTCCCTCGTCGAGACTTCCCCGACCACTCGTCTCCTCGACAGTGACGCCGCCGTTCCCCGGGGAGCTGCGGCGGGATCAGCCGGGCACAGGAGAGCAGAGCGGGAGCAGCGGCTGCGTGGATCCAGGTTCTCTCCGACTCACCTCGCAGTTCAGGATCTGGGCCCCCGGGCCAAGGAGGCAAGGGACTGAGGAGAGGTAAGAGGCTGAGCAGGAAAAATGTGGACCCTCTTTGTTTTCAGAGCTTGGGACCTCTAGGCACTGACTTCTAGCTCCCTCCAGGAATTTCCGGCCCTCTGGCCAGGCCCTGTGGGTCTGCACTGGCCCCCTCGGTAACTGGGGGGAGAGGGAGTTGAGGCTTGGGAGTTCACGGTAGGGGAGGCTGTGTTGGATTTGTTTCGTCTTAGTAACGCTGGGCATCTGAGGAGGACCTCACGCATGCCAGACAAATGCCCTGCCACTAAGCTACCTTTCCAGTCCAATGGTGATTTTTGGGTCAGTACTACTGCTTAATATCCAGGTTATTTCAAAATAAAGCACCTTTCTCCACTCCAGCCACGATGCAATTCAGCCTTGAACAGAACACCAGGCCGGGTGTACTTCAAAAGAAGAGATCTGGATGGAAGCGACTCAGGGTGGCTCCCAGACAGGGACTGGGGCACAAAGCTTGGCCGGCCGGTGCTGTGGTGCTTTGGCCTTAAAGACCGCCGCTTCAAGGTAAAGGCTGCTCTCTGCTAACTCTGCCTGGGGAGAGGGTGGAGGAAGCAAAGACAGAGTGGGCTGAGTGTGGCCACTCAGTAACTTTCTGGGAAAAATAAAAGTAGTCCAGGCCCAATTTTTAGGCCCTGAATAACTTTGCCCTTTGATTTCTGGGCACGTGGGTGTGTTTAAAGGTGAAGGCTACCTGGTTAGGGGAGATAGGAAGAGAAGCGGGGAATAAAGATCTACACTCCGCACTTCCCCCAAACCTCCCTGATCAATCCAGGTAGGAAGGCCTTAACGGGCAGTTCAAGGAGTCTGAAACTCTCTGAAAACTGTAGGATTTCACGGTTCTACAAAAAAGCCAGAGGTGACTTTCTGAGATGCCCTGGCTGGGGAGGGAAGTGTGAAGAGGAGGTGAGAGCCCTCAGTCCACGTGGCCAATAGCTTGGGACCCTGAGAGACAGCCAGGAGACAGACTTACCTACCGTTTTCAGGATGCACCAGTGATGTCTCAGCTAGTAATATATCTGAGTGTTTTCAGTTTTTTTTTTTCTTTCAACTATTCTTGATTTGGGGCTCTGGGTGGCTTCTGGAGCCCTAGGAGCATCATGTAGGAGGGGGACCTGGGCTTCCAGCCTCTGATCTCACCTTCACCTGGTAAAGAGCCTAGGGGTCCCCTGGGCAGAGTCAGAGTGAGCCCAGCCCAGCCCGGGCTCAGGGGGTGGCAGGCCTTGGCCCTGTCCCCTTCCTGGCCCTCGGGGCTCCTTTCTCTGTTAGCCCAGGGCTCCCAAGCTGCAGCCTCGCTCCCCATCTGATCACCCCAATAACGACAGCAGTTCTCTCAGTTTTGAAAACTGCAGAAGCCCCAGATTGTTAGCTCCCCTTGAGAAAGAGACAGCGGTAGATCTTGGGGTGCAGAGAGGCACTGTGAGACCGAGTGACCCAGAGCTGGGAGGGCAGGCTCCCCCTGCGTGGCCTGGGGCTCTGAATCACAGCCCTCCTTTTGCTTCCAAACCCAGAAAGGCCGCACATTTTCTGTCTTTCTGTGTCTGGGGAGAAAGGGAAGGGGAAAATTGGGAGTAGGAGACAGATGGGGCGAAGAAAGTGAGGAAGAGGATTCCAGTAGATAATCGACTTCTCCTTCTAACCGGACAGCGTTCGAGCTTTAATCTACCCAGGGAGAGCTGCAGTTAGAGCCAAGCTGCGTGGGGACTAAGTTCCCCGGCCAAGGGACCCAGCCGGGGCCCAGTGCCTTTCCTTGTGGCTCACAGGTGGCAGCGGAGGCGGCTGGGCTGGGTCTTTCCCCCGTAGTGTGGCAGAGGAGGCTCCTTAGGGCGCCCCTCATTGCCCTCTCCGGGACTGGGCGGCTTCTCCGTGCAGTTCTGGGGGGCCGTGTACGAGTGGGGGTGCCGGGGGCTCCCAGCGACGGCGGCAGCTCTGCTCGGGAAGCCGGCACTGGTCGGGGTAGAGGCGCCTTGGTCCCGCAGGGAAGAGCACGGGGCTGGGCGGGGGGGGGGGGCAGCTCTTTCGTGCCGGTTTCCCCGGGATGCAGAGCCCCGGCTCTGCTCGTTTTCGGCACCGGGGATGTGCGGGGTCTCTGGGAGCTGCGAGGGACGCGTGGGTGAACCCACAAACTTCCCGCCTGCCACCTTTGTTAGGGGCACAATGCAGTGGCCGGCACAGCGCCCCGCCCGCTGCCCGCGTCTCTGTGACTCCTCCACCTTCGCGGCGTGGGTGCCCACTCCGAGAGGGGACCCTGCTGCCCCGAGACTCCCCCCACGCGGCGAGGACCCCACGACACCCACGAGCGCACCCCTCTTTCCGCGTGCGTCTCTCCACGCCCCTGGAAAGATGAATAATTTTCGCATTGCGCTGGCAGCGTCTGCATACACACTGCGACCCTTTCCCGTCCTTCTCCAGCCTTCAGGCGCCTGCCCCAACCCCAGGCCTCTTCACAAAATCCGCACCCCGGCGCTCCTGTGAGTTCCGCGGAAGATGGCGGCGCCCGGCGTCCCCTCCCGCGCAGAGCCCGGTCCCCACTCGAGTCCGCGAGGGGGAGGGGAAGGAAGCCCGGGTGCCCCGACTGCAGGCATTGCTCCCCGACCCCTTCCGGGGCTCAGCCAGGGAGCGGGAGAGCTAATTCTGCACCTCGGGGGCCTGGAGGCCGGAGCTCTAGGCGGACCACGGGATTCCCTCTCCAGGCCGCCCACGGCCTCCGCATCCACTCGGACCCAGGGCCCGGAGCTGGAGGACCAGGCGAGGGGGCAGGGCCTGGGGCGCCCGAGAACGCGGGGAGCGCGGGGACCCCCGCCCCAGCTCCTCTTTCGCCCGGATGCGCTCGGGCGGGAGCGAGGAGGAGGCCAGGCGAGGGGTCTCCAGGGCGCCCTGAGGCCTCGCCAGGGCCTCGGTCCGTCTGGGGCTCAAGGTTAAACTGCGGCCCCAGTGGCCACTCCCGCCGCCCCGCCAGGCGCGGTTCCGTCGCCGCGGCTCGGATCTGCGCGGTCGCTGCGACACCGGGCGCGGGGCCCTCACCTACCTCTCCAGCGCACCGTCCTCCCGCGTCCTGCTGAGCCGCGGGAACTCGGGCGTCTGGGGATGCAGGGGACGCGGCGGGGGCGGGAGGACGCGGCCCCAGGTCGCCGCCCCCACCCTCGCCCCCGCTCCCGCCCCCTGGAGGTTCCGGGGCCGCGTCCGGGTTTGGCGCGGTGGCGCCAACAGCGCTGGGGCGCGCAAGGCTCGCGCGCGCCGCGTCCCGGCGCCGGGAGTGGGGGCGGGACAGGGACTGACTCCTCTGGCCCCAGTGTCCCCCGGGGCGGGGTCCCCGCCGATCGCACCCACGCGTGCCCCGGGCGCCGTCGGGCGCCGTCGGATCCCTCGTGGCGAGGCCGGCATGGGCTCTGCGCCCTACGAGGAGCGTGCGCGCGGGGGGGGGGGGAGACCCAAGGAGCGGCCCAGAGAAACCCTCACACCCAGAAAGACAAAAGAAGAAGCTGATGGGGGACAGAGGCAGCCCAGGCGTCTGCAGCGCGCGACAAGTGTCCTTGGGAGTTGGGAATGTGAGGGGGAGGGGCGGGGCCCGGAGCGGGGGGGGGGGCGCGCGCCAGCCGGGAAGCAGCGACCCAGGCTGAGGACGGAGCGCCTCCGCGCACCCCGCCCGGCCGGCCCGATCCTGCCCTCGACTTCCCGCCCCGCAGAGTTCACGGAGACCGGAACCCTTTTCTTCGGTCCCCAGAGCCTCCAGCTGACGCCCAGAACAAATGAAGCTGCAGGCAACAACCTTGGGCAAGGTCAAAGAAGTTTCCAAACCACCTTCCCTCCAGATGCCTTTGCGGTTTGGCTCTGAGGCTCACTAGAGAGGCACCCTGAAACTGCAGGAGCCTCTTTTGTCTCCCTCTCAGAACTAGAGAGGTTGGGACCTATCTGCAGTCGGTGACCCACACCTGTAATCCCAACACTCAGGAGGCTGAGCCAGGAGGATCTCGAGCCCAACCCGGGCTACATAGTGAAACAAGTAGAGTCCCCACCTTCGTGGGCCGGGGCGGGCCTCAGACTCCATGCCTCCCCTCAGCCAGCTGGGACCAAGGACCCAGAGTCCAGCTGCTCCCTACAAGCCATGGTCCAGTTGGCAGCAGAGGTGCACCTGGGCACTGCGTTCTAGACCTAGCTGTGCCACCCTCTCATGGTGGGACATCAACCTCCACTCTCTCCTCCTTAGGCCTCTATTTTTACTTCTGTAAAATGGTATCAAGCTGACCCAGTGAGTCACCTCTCGCCTTTGTAGTCTCCTCCCATTGATAGGTGTTGGTGAGCTTGAACTGCTGAAAGAAAAATATCCAATAGCCCTGCGAGGTGGCACAGGCCTGTGATCCCAGCACTCAGGAGGCTGAGGCAGGAGGATCACCACTAGTTCCAAGCCAGCCTAGGCTACACTACATAGTGAGTCCAAGGCCAGCCTGGACTACATGAGGAGACCCTGTCTGAAAAACAAACAAACAACACAAACACATCCAAATGTCGATTCTATTCTGTACCCATATAAACATAAAACATAGAAATGACAAATTAAGGCTGCGGATGTAGCTCAGTGGTTCTGTCGCCTGCCTGGCAAGGGCAAGGTCCTGAGTTTGATCCCCGGTACCAAAAAAAAAAAGAAGAAGAAAAGACAAATTAAACTTTGCCTCATTGAATGGGTCTGTTTTTCTTTTTTTTTTTTTTTTTTTCGGTTTTGGTACCAGGGATTGAACTCGGCACCTTGCCCTTGCAAGGCAGGCGCCAGCACCACTGAGCTAAATCCCCAGCCCAAGGGTCTGTTTTTCTATTGTTCTTTTCTATCCTTGTTATTAACATATGGTTCATGTGGAGTAAAAGGCATTAAAATTAAGTGTGCAGCTCAATGTATTTTTGCAGATGTGCATATCTGTGTAACTACCACCTAGATCAAGACATCTGCTTCCTACCTGGAGGCTCCCATCCCTGCTTTCAGTTGGTGACCCTCTAGTTAATGCCTACCTACCCCTAAAGTACCATTATTCTATCTTCTTGCCTTGGATTAGTTTGGCTTTTTGTTTGGTTGGTTGGTTGTTTTAGTTTTTTGAGACAGGGTCTCCCTGTGTAGTCCAGGCTGGCCTTGAACTCACTATGTAGCCCGGGCTGGCTTGGAACTCACAGCGATCCTCCTGCCTCAGCCTCCTGAGTGCTGGGATTATAGGCATCACCACCCCACACCTGGCTTTGCCCTAGATTTGTTTTGTCTATACTTGAAACTCACATAAATGAGGTCATGGATTTGAAATCTATTCCATTAATCTTCATGTGCTCAACATTGTGGGAGGGGACTTATCCACATAACTATGGACAGCAGCTCTATTTTATTGCTCTCTTTATTTGCTCTATTTTATCACTGTGTCATATTCCATTGTGTGACATTTATTTATTTATTTATTTATTTATTTAGACAGGGACTCTGTGTAGTCTAGGTTAACCTTGCACTCACTATGTAGCTGGCCTTGAACTTGCAGAGACCCTCCTGCCTCTGCCTCCTGAATCTTGGGGTCACAGGCCTACACCACCACACCCGGCTCCATTGTGTGACTGTATCACTGTATTTTCCCATTCCACTCTGGGTGGACTTCTGGGTAATTTCCGGCTTGGGGCTGTTCTGAAGAATCTGCTAGGAGCATTCCTGTGTCTCTTATGGGGCACCTGAACCTCAAGACCCAGAGGAAATAACAGCAGTGGTAGGCCACAGACACTGACTGTGGGGAGACAGTTGCCCCCCAGCAATGCATGTGAGATCCAGTGGTGCTGTGTCCTTGACAATAACTGGAACTGCCTGTCTTGGCCACGTCAGTCGTTCCGGTGGGGTCTAGTGATCTTGAAATATGGCTCGTGTTGGCTTTGTGCCTTTAAAACTTGTGATGGGGGCGGGGGATTTAGCTCAGTGGTTCCGCCACCTGCCTTGCGAGAACAAGGACCTGAGTTTGATCCCCGGTACCCTAAAAAACCCCCCAAAACACTTGTGGTGGGAATGTACAACACAATCGCCTCTACCCGCTCCTCCTACACAGTTCAGCGTGTGAGTGCATTCGCAATGCTGGGCCTCAGAGTGCCTGGCCTTTTTCAGTTTGCCAAACAGAGGTTTTATACCCAGTGAGCTCTGTTTTCTGTTTCCCCGTCTTCCGGCACCTAGTAACCCCATTCTGCTTCCTGTCTTTCCCAGTTTGGACACCGTAGGGACTGCATGCAGTGTGGCTGCCTTTGTCCCTCTGACTGGTTTCCTTCGAGGCCCATCCGTGTGGTAGCATAGGGTGGCATTTCCTTCTTTTTAACAGCTGAGTAGTATTTCATTGTGTTCAGAGCCACGTTTGTTTTTCCACTTATCCACTGGAGGGCGCTGGGATCACCTCTGTCTCTTGGCTACTGTGAACAGGGCAGCAAATACCTGCCGGGGACCCTTTTCAGTCCCTCTGTGTAGAAACTCACAAGCGGTGTTGGTGAGCTATATGGAGATTCAGTTTTTAATTTGGGGGTCCCTCCTCACTGTTGTTCCCCATGGCCGAGCCATGTGGCGGTTCCCTCAGCAGGGGGGGCAGAGATCAGTGGGGAGAGTACTCGTTAGCTTTTCCTCAGGGCCTGGGTTTGGCCCCCACAGAACAAAGACGGAAAAACAAAACCATCAGCAGTGCACAGCTGTGTTCCTTTCTTCACATCCTCACCAGCACTTGTTATTTTCTGGTTTGTTTGCTCATTTTTTGGGTGTGTTTTTTGGTACCGGGGATCGAACTCGGGTCCTTGAACTTGCGCAGCAGGTGGCGAAACCACTGAGCTAAATCCCCGGCCCTTGTTTTGTTTTGATAATTTGCATTTCTTTTTTGCGTAGTTAAGGTGGACACCTTTCCATGTTTATTGATCACTTGGATTTCCTCTTAGGTGAAGGGTTTTTTAATTAAAGAATTCATTCATGCACCCCGGTGTGGTATAATCCTGTACAATGGCAAGCCTGTGATCATAGCACTTGGGAGGCTGAGGCAGGAGGATCATTGCAAGTTTGAGGCCAACCTGGGCTACATAGCGAGACACTGTCACTCCCCTGAAATAAAGAAATAGATCATTCATTCATTCAGAAATCACTAACTTCCAGACATTAGGGGTAGACCGGTGGGACTTAGGCAGCAGCCTCCAGATAGTTCACATCTAGAGACCAGAAGTCCCCTTGGGACATGTCAGGGTGGAGTCTCTTGGGGACTCCTGAGTGTGTGGGGGCAGGGGCAGCAGAGGGATTTTTCCATTCATTTGAAATATATCGACTTTTTTTTTTTTTTTTGAGATGGTCTTGCTCTGTAGTTCAGGCTATCCTTAAATTCACTATGTAGCCCAGGCTAGCCTGGAACTCAAGGCGATCCTCCTGCCTCAGCCTCCCAAGTGCAGGGATTATAGGCCTGCACCACCATGCCCTGCTTTGATTTCTTTTTATTTTTTTGGTACCAGGGATTGAACTCAGGTCCTTGCGCTTGCGCAGCAGATGGTGAAACCACTGAGCTAAATCCCCGGCCCGAAATATATTTACTTTTAACGTAGACATATTGAATCCAACATTATGAGTTTTTAAAATTTGTGTTTTACATTTTCCTCCACTGAATTTCTCCCCAAAGATATGATTAATAAGTAAAATAAAATCCATACAGGGGCTGATACCTGTCATCCCAGCACTCAGGGAGGCTGAGACAGGAGGATCACTGTGAGTTTAAGGTCAGCCTGGGCTACACAGTGAGACCCTATCTCAAAAAAACAAAACAAAACAAAGCAAAAAACAGAGCCACGGATGTAGCTCAGTGGCGCCATGCCTGCTTCCCAAGTGCAAGGTCCTGAGGTCCTGAGTTCAATCCCCAGTACCAAAAAACAACAAAACCTCCCACAACACAACACGAAACCCGTAACAGGTGAGTGAGAGAAAAGCTTTATTCTCCAGAGGTAACCAGGGTCCACAGCCTGGTGCATTTTCCCTACCTTTCTCTCTGTGCGCCTCTAAACGTAAACAGGAGGACAAGAGACCTCCATTTATTTTTATAGACGGAAACAGAGAGACAAACATTTTATAGA